TGATCAGTTGAGAAGAATCTGCCCAGAGGAAGCTAACAGAAAGTGTATAAACCACATCTTGTGCCATAGACTGGTGTATTAAAGAACTACAGCCAAAATGAGTTCATGACTTATAACAAGCCTAACAGAAAAAAAAAAATTGAGGCCAGGCATGAAATAAATGGGTTACAGCCATAAGTTGAAGGAATTTTACCTGCCATCAGCTGAGATGAGATAAAGAAGCAAACACAAAATTTTCCTCCTGTGTACACCTCACCTTATTCCCTCTAGAAAAAGTCAAAAGTTCTGCTCTTCTTAGAGCTGGTTATTCTCTGTTGATAGATTTGACCAAGACTGCACAATGTTCATCAAGAAAAGGAAAGCATTAGGATCAACTTTTGATAAATAGACTTAAACAGCAAAGCATAGTTGAACAGATATGAGCTCTATCTTGACTTTGTCACTTCCCAGCCATGCAACCTTGGGCAATTTCTTAACAGTTCCCCCATGTCAATAACTTGGAAATAAAACTCATAAGACTGCTCTGAGGATTACATTAGAATAATGTATATTAGGCAGATGACAACATCTGCCATAAGCATTTGCTTCTCCATTACAGCTCTGTGATGGGCATAACCCTATCCCCTCCTTGATGATCTGAAATAGTGACGATCCATTCCAGTAAAGGGCGAAAATCAGACTTGGGCTTTTCCCAATAGTGTGTCAATGGAATTAATCTGGGAAACTCTGCACATCATATTGTCCTTGTTAAAGTCATAATGCACATTAGTATATTAAAAAGCCAGAAAATTCTTATATTAAAAAAATATTTGATTTTATTTAAATTTATTTGACCTTTTGTTTTTCAAAATAACTACTCTACTTTGCACTTTGAAAAACACTACTCCAGCAAACAAGCCTATTAAAATTTCTGATGGGGTGGGTGGGAATCGAAATACTCCAAAATGTTTCATCCCTTTGCTAGTTACAAAAAAAATCCTTTCAAAAAAAAACCCTCAGGGCTGAGTTGTAGCTCAGTGGTAGAGTACATGGTTAACATGCAAGAAGCCTGGGTTCAATTCCCAGCACATACATATACACACACACACACCTTTAAGAATATTATGTTTTGTGCCACAGATGTGTTTTAAAGACCCATAAAATGAATATTTTGTTATCAGACCCTTTTACATTGTTTAAAATTGTTGAGGCTACAAAGATGGGGATTATGAAATGGCACAAGAAAATACTGAAGTGACAGATGTGTTCATTATCTTAGTGGTGATGAACAGCATGACAGTTAAAATTTTACATGTCACTTGGTTAGAGTGCAGCATAGAGCTGCTTGGCAAAATGCTAGCCTAGATATTGCTACAAAGGTATTTTGTAAATGTGAGTCCCATCTACAAACTGGATGTGACTTGTTTGTGCCTAGTGTGTGCTATGTGATCAACAACCAATAAACCTTAGGGTCTGAGTCTCTGATAGCTCAGATGATTTCAGGGTAATAACCACTGATAATGTGAATGAACCTTATCCAATCAGTTTACAACTTTAAGAACAAAAACTGAGGTTTCCTAAAGAAGAAACGAAACTGTCTCATGCCTGGTAACATCTCACAGCTGGATAGCATCCTGCCCTGGTCTCCTAAATATCTTGCCAGTTTACCTTAGAGATTTCAAACTCAGAACTACATTAATTCCTGTCTGAGTTTCTAACCTGCTGGCCTGCCCTATAAATTTCAAGTCTTACAATGCTGTGAGCTAATCCTTAAAATAATCTCTTAATACATACATATATCCTATTGGTTCTATTTCTCTGAAAAACTCTGACAAAAATGAATTCACAAGTATATATACCTATGTCAAAAGTTATTAAATTGCAGGCTTTATATATGTGCAATTTATTGTATGTCAGTTCTACATTAGTAAAACTCTAAAAAATAACACTGAAAATTTCAGAGTTTTCATTTATGAATTATCTGTCAATATCTACTGAATTAGAAATTAGCTCCAAGAAATTATTAAATATATATAATATATATAAATATAAAATAAATAATATAGTAACATGAATTAAAATAATTAGTGCATATATTTTTAATTTTAAAAAGAGTTCTATTTCCCAAAAAAAAAAGTGAGAAGAGTGTTACTTTTCACATTTGTACAAAACTCTTTAATATCTGGCTTAAAAGAAGACAGCTAGATTCTCTTACTTATTCAGTATTCAATATGTTGTGAGATGTTTGGGTTGAAATATATGAAGAGAATCTGGCCTCAATCAGATATACACTTGGAAAAGGGAGTTGTATTTTAATAGTCCTTTCAGCCAATTCTTCTTTGATAACACACCCAAACCTGACAAGTTGCAGTTTCTTAAGATCAGCTGTAATGTGGAATCTAAAGCCACATCAAAAAACTTTTAGACACTGTTTCATTAAACCCTTTGATCTTTTACACATAAATTACTTTGTCATATCACATATTGATCTTCAAAAAATATTGATTCACAGAGTATACAGATCTTCCAAATACTGACATATTTCATTATACATATAAAAAAAATCACATTGGTGACTATCATTAATAACCTACTCAACAACACTCTTTAAATAATGGCAAATTTAAGCTTATGAACAAAATTTTTCAAAATTTTAATTTTTCTCAAAAGCTGAAACTTTGTCATTGCCTTCAGTACAGTGGCACACACCTGTAATCCCAGCAACTTGGGAGGCTGAGGCAAGAGGATCACGACTTCAAAGCCAGCCTCAGCAACTTAGCAATGCGCTAAGCAACTCAGCAAGAACCTGTTTCTAAATAAAAATATTTTTTAAATGGCTGGGGGTGTGACTCAACGACCTTGAGTTCAATCCCCAGTACAAAAAAAAAATTTTGTCATTGCCAACACTGCCAAGAGTTTCTCCTAAAATAGGTTCACTTCATTAATTGTCAAGGAAATATCCATCAAATACCTAAGTCTGAATAACCACAATTTTTCTGTCAGTTATTAGTTCAAAAATAAAAAATGCTGTTACATATGAAAAATGGCTTCTTAAAAAGAAAAATATCATTATTACAAAGTGAATGTTTCTATGCATACTGATATTGTTACTTATCTGTAGAGAGTCTACATGTGCCCATTTTTTATCATCTTTATAAGAAATTTTTATTATGTATATTAACCTTTTATAAAAATTTCAAAATAAATCCCATTTGGATGTTTTTTAAAAATGGCTTCTTCACTTCACAAGATGCTTTTTCTCAAGATGACCATCACGCTTTGGTACACAGGAGTGTATGCGTACCTCTCATTTTTGTCCTTCGATTGTAAATAGACATGTACCAAAAAGTCAAATTTCTTACTAAATTTTATTGTTTCTACTGCATCATAAAGAACCTTACATGAACCTGGAATTATTTTTCTTTCTTGTTGCAAGAGCATGGCCAGAAAGAATGCAGTGACAGTCAGTAAAGATTGAAGCCACCGCCTTGTTTTGCACTACAACATCAGCAATTTTTGTCTAACACTGTTTCTGAATCATCAGTACACATGTCAATGGTGTAAAAGTGGATAATAACATTTTATAATAACACAGTAAGATAATAATATCTTAGTATTACTATACAAGTTGTTTTGATCTCATAGACCCCCTTCAAGTCTCAGAGACCTCCAGAGGCCAACCAATCAGAACTACCGCTTTAAATAAACACACTCAGATGCTGGAAGGACAATGGAAATATCAACAATTCCACAGTTTGTATATAGTAAAGTAATTTTGATCAGAAACAAAGGGCTAAGGAACTTATCTCAAAGCTATATTTGCACAGCAAGTTTCTGAGTTTTAGAGGCTGAGGTTGTGACTCAGTGGTAGAGCACTTGCCTGGCATGTGTGGGGACCTGGATTCAAATCTCAGCACTGCATATAAATAAATTAAATAAAGGTCTATTGACAACTAAAAAAAAAAAAGAAATCCAAAAAAATTTTTTTTAAAAAGTTTCTGAGTTTTGTTGTTTTTCATTTTATGTGGTGTTGCAGCTTTTGAAACCCAGAGCCTCTTGCATGCTAGGCAAGCAATTTACCACCGAGCTATACCCAGAGCCCTGTCAAGTTTATTTTTACTTATATGTCTCTTAGAAGAGATAAGTTTATATCTACCTGGACAATAATCAGTGAAATTTTATGTATTATTTGGATTATGGAAATAATTAAAGTTATTTATGATTTATCATGGATGTTCTATATAATAGGAGCTCTTTATTCAGTGGGTTTACAATCAAATTTCTAAAAAATGAATATGGCTGGGTGTAGTAACCCATGCCTATAAACCAGCACCTTGGGAAGCTGAGACAGGAAGATTGCAAGTTGGAGGCCCACCTCAGCAACTTAGTGAGACCTTGTCCCAAATAAAAACTTAAAAAGGCTGGATGTGTAGCTTAGGAGTAGAGCACCCCATAAAACAAGCAAGCAAAAAAAAACCAAAAAAACCACAAAATGTGGTATTTAACATTTTCTTTCCTCTAAAATTAAGTAAAAACAGAGGCTAAATTTTTAAATGGTCCACTTTCAGTTTAAGCACTGCTAAATAATGAAGGACAGAAATTTGATTTATAATAGCAGAAAATTTTAATTCAAGCGACATCTTACATGTACAATATTAGGAGAAATGTTTATTATAATCATTAGACCTTCTGATTTTATCATTATGCCCTTGAATTATACTCTGGAGGAGAATAATACAGATGTTCAAAATGTACTAACAACTATTTTAAACAAGAAATATTATCCTTTGATAAATTTAAGAAGGTTGTCAACTACAGGTTCCCCCCACCCACCAAAAAAAACGTTGCCCATGTAAAATAAAGCAGAATACACATTAGTATTTATGGAATAAGCCATTTTTAAGCTATAATTAAATTCTACTTATTGAGTCATGTCCTAGTAACTCATGTTATAAAATTACAACTCAAGTCATACAATTTAAATTTTATAAAACCAAAATGATAAAAGGAGATCAACTTACTCGATCAGCTAATCCTCCAGGAACTATGGTCCTCACCACTACGCCACTTGACTTTCCTCCAACTATTCCAAATCCTAATCCAGAGCCATCGTTAATGAGTTCAACATCCTCGATATGGCCCCAACAAACCTATGAATTAAAGGCAAGTAAGAACCACAATATTGGTACAACACACAGATCTTAACTTTCCAATACAGTCACTACTAAAGTGATAGATTTACAAGAAAATGAATATTCATACACTTAATTAAGGCAGCAATCCAGAAGCTAAAATTGATAGGCCCTGACCTAAGGATCTTATATCCAGGAGAGAAAAAGCTAAAACACAATTAAAATGCAAGGCAGAATATCAGACAAAACATTGTAGCTCTAAGAGGACAAGAAACATTCCCCAGTCTATGACCAATATCTAGCAGAAGGCCTGGATTGTATAGGAACCAATAAATATGTGATTGCTTCAGATGAAAGTCACAAGGCTGGGAATGTGGCTCCATAGTAGTGTATTAGTAGTAGTGTGTTCACCTAGCAGGCACAAAGAGCATCAGGGAAGAAAAAAAACCCTTAACTTGAATTGGAAGTCACAAAATGTTAGGAAGACTTCAGAGGTTTGGGGGAGAGAAAAGCCATAAGAAATAAAATCCAATGAGAGGAGGGAGCATTTAAATCATACTATAGGGACTGGGGTATGGCTCAGTGGTAGAGCATTCTAGCATGTGTAAGGCACTGGGTTTGCTCCTCAGCACCACATAAAATAAAGGTATTGTGTCCACCTACAACTGAAAAATAAATATTAAAAAAAACCATAAACTGCACTACAAAGAAGGAAGACAATCAAGAACAAAGTTGGACCAGATAGTAGAATGGGTCAAAGATACAGTCAATAGATTGAGTTAACTGGGAAGACAAATGGGAATTCAAGGTTTTAGAAGATGGAATGACAAGAAGGTGGCAGTGGCTTGTGAAAATTAATCTGGCAGCAATGTAAAGAATGAAATGGTAAGAACATGATGAGGTAAAGAGACAAATTTAGGAGGCATTAATGAGGGAAAAGAAAGGCAGACCCAACTGAAGATATTGTTAATATAATCATACAAATCAGACAAGAAGAAATAAGCACTATTCCTCCAATTAGCAGGTTTCCATGAGAAATGTGCATTAAATTCATATAATCCAACAGCAGAACAATGTCTCCCTCTCAAGATCATGAGGGCATAATCATTATTTAGTTCTTTTTTTTTTTTTTTGAGAGGGAGAGAGAGAACTTTAACATTTTATTTTTCAGTTATTGGCGAACACAACATCTTTGTGTTTGTATGTGGTGCTGAGGATCGAACCCAGGCCGCACGCACGCCAGGCGACCGCGCTACCGCTTGAGCCACATCCCCGGCCCTATTTAGTTCTTCTATTACATAAAATTGGAAAGCTACTATGCAATGTTAAAATAAACAGGAATATAGGGAATATTTAATAAGCTCATGTCTGGAACAATACCTAGTAACTGGGAAGCATGTTTGTTAAAATAAGAACCCTGGCTGGGGGCTAGGGTTGTGGTTCTGTGGTAGAGTGAGTGCTTGCCTCACATGTTTGAGGCACTGGGTTCAATTCTCAGCACCACCTATAAATAAATGGATAAAATAAAGGTCCATCAACAACTAAAAGAATTAAAAAAAAAAAAAACAAGTAGAAGAAACCTTGCTGGGCACAGTGGCACCCACCTGTAATCCCAGCAGCTCTGGAGGCTGAGGCAGGAGGATCATGAGTTCAAAGCCAGCCTTAGCAATTTAGCGAGGCCCTAAGCAACTCAGTGAGACCCTGTCTCTAAATAAAATACAAAAAGGGCTGGGGGTGTGGTTCAGTGGTTAAGCACCCCTGTTCAATCCCTGGTGCTCCCCCACCCCCAAAAAAAGAAGCCTGAATCAATGACAGCAGCTACTGTCACAGAGTGTTAACTGGCACCAGCCCTACGCTTGGCTCTTCACACACCTCTTTCAATCTTTACGACCATTACTAGTTTTAAGTAACAAAGAGACTGAGGTGTGGAGAAGTCAAGGACCTGCTGGTGTCACACAACTAGGAGAAGAAGAAATGGACTTGAACCCACCAATGCATGACTCCAACACCCTTATTCTTTATATGCTAGACAATGTCCCACTTTGTCCATTGTAGTTATTTTGTAAATTGTGCTGTATAAATATTACAGAGTGTAACAGGAAAAATGCCTATACTTTAATTTGTGTTGTGACCTTGTAATGTACCAGACAGTTTTTTTCTTTTGTCCTGAGGAATGAAAATTATATAAATCAGCTAGCACTTAGTGTTATAAGAAAATAAGATTTATTAGCAGGCATTCTGAAGACGCTGGCCAAAATCTGGTAAATGTTACAAAGCAGCTTTAAGAGTTCCTAAAACAGACATACTTATTTTCTTCTAAACTGTGAAGTATATATCCTTACATGAAAAAAAAAAAACCTACTATAATTTTGTAGCATCAATAACCTACCCATAAACTCCCATTATAATTCATAAAAGTAATGTTTTTGAAATGTTAACTTTCTATAAAGTTAACTTTCTATAAAGGAACACAAGACACCACCACCAAATAAACTACACCTAACACTCAATTTGACCCCTATATTAAATAATAATCTTAAATTAAAAGTCCCACAGGACATTGAAAAGACTAAATAAATAGCCCTTCATGAAACATCTTGTTTAAATATGATGCACTTGGAGATATGATCATCCCTCTTGACCCGTGACAAGTAAATGACACCTGAATATATACTTCTTATCACCAATAGCATAACTCAAAATTATTTTCCCAAGTTTGCAACTCACTGTTTCAGGCAGAGTTGTATCAGCTGAGCTGGTAGAAGTCCTGCTTTTTGTGTGGACTGGTTCCCTGGCTACAACCAGATGCAAAGATCCACCCGTTTGTTGTAATAATGCAATTGCTTGCTGGTGAGAAATATTGTGATCCAGTGGTGTGTGATTAATGGCCAAAATCTGGTCATTTTCCTTTAATCTTTGATCCCTTAATCATATAAGAAAAGATTATGTTTAAAGTGATCTAATAACTTGACTTTTAAATATCTGTTATTTAAGTTCAGCAATTTATTGCTTATGTTACTATTTCACTCAATACATTTACCTGAATAATTATGTAGATACATAACAGAGCTCAGAGTGCCTTTTCATAACACTTAATAACTAATGTACTAATTAGCTAGTGCATCCCTCTATACACACTTACACACACACATTTTAAAAGTCAGTTGGCTAGAAAAATAAACTAAAACACTTTAGAAAGCCCTACTGCCAAGGGTTAGCAAGTGTGAATACTGCATGGACCCCGCACTGTCGGAAGCTTTCCAATCTGATTTCTATCCATACTATACTAGGATAACCATTTTCTGAACTTCACCAAGAGCCTCCTCACTAGGAGGTTCACCCCATCTCCATTTTCTTTACTTCTTTATCATTTGTCAGTAGAGGCCAAATACTCCTTGAAAATCCATGGTGATTACTTCCAAACCTATATCTAATCCCTTTTCTCTCTCCCAAACCAATCTCCCAACTACTAACAAAGGTTAAAAAGACAACTAAAAAAAAAAAAGTAACAATCTCTAAAGAAAAAAAAAAGCACTACTATAATTAAAATTGACTGAGCCCCTTAGGAGTCAGGTACTGTGTTAAGTGCTTTACATGCATTATTATCTCGTATAATCCTCATAATCACCTTTTAAAGTAGTTAAGTTTTACATACAAAAACTTAAAGCTCAGACTAACTTAACACCTTATCTGAAGAGTCTGACTCTGAAGCATAGTCATCACCTACTATGATAACATGCATTCTAAGGATAGTCTACAATTTACTGTCCTGGTTTACTGCATTTGACTGTTATCTTCCAAGTACCATTGAAATAGTATTCCTGCTGGCCGAGCAACAGTACCCTAACACTTTCTTGCCCTTCTTTGTCTCTTTTGGATCCACCCATCTCCTCCTTTCCATTCCTACTCTCCAGTTGGAATCCTCGCCTAACATCTAAATCTAATTTGCAAAATTCCATCAGATTTACATTTCTAGGCTCTCTTCATGCTGGTATCTTTTCCAGTTCAAAAATGTGTAATGATCAGCTATTGCTAACCAATAAAGAAAGCAGCAAAGAAATGAAAACAAACTCCTGTCATGCCTGTTTCATAAAAGGAACATTTTTACCTCTTAAAATACAGCAAGGGATTTATTTCAGAATAGGATAATCCTTTTCACAAATACAATTTTGAATTATGAAGGGTCCATTATATTGCCCCCTGCCTCCTTTTTTCTCTAATTTCATAGCAGGTCAGGAAAACCTTGTCATGGACCAGAATATCAAGAATACTGACCTCTAGGACAGAGGGTAAACTTGGCTGGTCTTGAAGGCCTCAATGTTCTGCCCCTAAGTACTCTTCCTACTTGGACGCTGTCCACACAAACTATTTCTTCAACTACTCTGACTTATGACTTCTCTCTCAAATATGTCTGGCATTTCCTGCTCTGGTATAAACTGTTCCCTCCACATCTAATACCTTTCTACTCTACTCAGCCAAATTCAATTCCATCCATCACCATTCAGTTGAGTCTCATATCTCAGTCCACAAAGTTCTGAACCACTCGTTCACCATTAAATACTCAGGTATGTTAAGCATGCTGCCTACAGAGTTAGCTAAGTCCTTCCCTGTTGGATTTTAAGTTTCCTGGAGACAGGTACTCATGTTTTGGAGTCTTCCTTAGAAAGAGCAAGTTCAATATATCAATTTATTTATTTATTTATTTTGAGGCAGTAGTGGGGATTGAACATACTGGCACTCTACAACTGAGCTACATCCCTAGTCCTTTTGTTAAATTTTGAGATAGAATCAAGTTGCCAAGGTTGGACTTGAACTTTCAAGCCTGTCTCAGCCCTCCCAAGTATCTGGAATTACAGGTGGGTACCACTATGCCCAGTTAATATTCCAATTTTTGATACTAAAATAGTCTTTCACAATAAATCATGGAGCATTAAAAATGTTGTTTAAAAATCTTTTCATTAATATTAGGAATGACATATTAAGGTGAGAATAAGATGTAAAAATGTATATATTCTATGACCTTGTCTTTACAAAAAAGAAAACATTATGGACTGGGGGGTATAATGCAGTAGTAGAGCACATACAGTGTGAGAATCTGGGTTTGATCCCCAGTATTGGGGAAAAAGAAAAGAAAGCATTCTAAGATATTTCTCAGTTGTATCGGGATGCTCAAAATTCAAATGTTTCAGCACTAGGGTATAAGCTCAGTCGTACAGCACATACTTAGCATGCACAAGGCCCTGGGTTCAATCTCAGCACATCTCCAAAGAAAGTTTCAAGTACCTTGAGACTTTTATTTTTACTTACTATTTTTACTAACTATATTTCCATACTTTATAGTTTTTTATTATATGCATAACAGATTTTCATAATTTTAGAATATTTTTTGAGAACGCTGCTTGTGAAGCATCTCCCCAGGACTAAAGAAACTTCTTCTTAAATGTAAATACTACAGGACAATATCCAGGAATCATTTCCATTCTTCCATCTCCATGTCCCCCTTTCTCTAACTTCAACTAAATTTCTATTCACAGCATGTTCATCTAGGGAATCTCTTAATTAATTCTAAATGAGTGAGATACATTTAAGTCTTTTTAGCCCTGATCTAACTCATTTTTCATAAGTCCTTAATTCACCCGTGGATTTTCTATTTTCTAGAAATCAATCTATTTTAATCTACCTTTTCCCCTACCCAATAGTCTTCAAGGACACTTCCTTTCTCTCCAAGTTAGAATCCATTCTTTCCAAGATAAAATCTGCTCTGGGAACATAAACTCAATCCAGGATAAATAAGCTACAGAGGAAAATTTGGATTTTTTTGACACATTCCACTTAATTCCTCCATGCAATTACTTATACATATATACTAATACATAATTATACTACATATACAATTAAATTCCCCACACTAATTTGTATTTTATATAATTATACATAATTATACCATATAAACATATATGCAATTTAGCTCCCTCATACTAATTTTTAAACACACACAAGTATTTAATTCACACTTTCCATTCAAGAGGAAACAAGTTCTTGTGTCTCCATCACACAACATTCAGAAATAGTGGATTTCCATGACTTTGACAGCCAGCAGGTTAGGCAAGTTTCTGTGTGGAAAGTCCTCAGAAGAAAGGAAGTACTGATCAAGATCATGAAGATCATTTTTAGATATCTAGAAGGTCCTATATGGCTGGTACCTACCTCTCCCTCTGCCCCTTCTGCATCATCTTATATTATTCTCCTCCAAATAAATACCAGTCATGCTCCAAGCAAAGGACCTGTGTTCCATCTCTTCATGGGGGTAATGGCCCATAGTCTCGCTATTCCATTCCCCAACACATTCTGCTCTCTGCAGACCCTGCTGTCTCTCTAGGTCTCCCATTGCCTCTGAGAAGCCACCTTACTCCTTGCCATTGGTCAAGGTTCTTATCCACTCAAATCATCAAGCTCCTCTTTTTGGAAACATTCAATTTGTAATCACAGACCTATTACTACAAAGTACTGAGACATAATAATTGACTACAAGCAGGATGGAATAATGTCTCTTTTGTTTAACATTTTATACCCAAAACATAGCATACAATCAAAATTCAATATCTGTTAAAAGCCAGGCATGATGGCACCTACAGTTCAGGATACTCTGCAGGCTGAAGGAAAAGGATCACAAGAGCCCACAAGTTCAAGACCATCCTGGGCAAAAATTTTAAAAAGTTAAATAACGAATAGGCGGTTGAAAATATACTGCCCCTGTGCAGGGAAAGCTTCCCGGCACCTCTCTAACTATTTTGCTCATGGCTTCTTCCTCCTATGCTATACATTCACTGCGACCTTTTATTACTACTTCTAATTCCCAACTTTTTCCAGCAAGTGTGTAACAGTGCCATATGGAACAATGTCTATTAAAAATACAAGCTGCTCCTCACAGAAAAGCTTCCATTTTGTTTCTTCAAGAAAACTTAGAGGAGCCAGGTGCAGCGGTGCACACCTATAATCCCAGTGGCTCGGGAGGCTGAGGCAGGAGGATCACAAGTTCATAGCTAGCCTTAGCAACAGCAAAATGCTAAGCAACTCAGTGAGACCCTGTATCTAAATAAAATACAAAATGACCAAAAAAAAAAAAATGACACACACAAAAAATGTCTGTACCCATTCAGTACAAACATGATTTTCAGCTGGGGATGTGGCTCAGTGGTTGAGTGTCCCTGAATTCAATCCCTGGTACCAAAATAAAAAAGAAAATGAAAATAAAGCTTAGGGGAGGCCTGGAAGTGTGACTCAATGATAGAGAGCATACCCAGCACATGCAAGGCCTTGGGTTCAAAATTAAGCAACAAAAAAGAAAAAACAGCTTGCAGGGAGAGTACTATGGAGTGTAAAACAAAACGTAGTTACTAAAGCAGCAGCAAAATAACATACTTAAAATATTTGTTTTTCTTAAATTTGGTAAACCATCTTTACAAGTTACTTTAATTTATCATGGAAAAAATAAATATATACCTGGGGATTTTTCTTTATCCACTGAACAAAAATATGGCAAAAATTTGTTTCTACTTGGAAAATTTTCTATGTTTATTTAGAAAATTTTATTTATTTATTTACTTGGATTGAACCCAAGGGTATATAACCACAGAGCCACATCCCCAGCCCTCTTTTTTGTTTTGTTTTATTTTGAGACAGGGTCTTAATAAGTTGCTGAGGCTGGCCTCAAACTTACAATTCTCTTGCCTCAACCTCTTAAGTTGCTAAAAGGATTAGAGGTATATACCACCATGCCTGCTAGGCTTTCATTTGAAAGCATTAAACATTAGTTCTTTCCTCATTATCTTCTAGTCAGCAAGATGAGTTGGTAAAAATTTGAGAAGTTCTTTGTAAATGTTTTCTGTATTCCTATATATTACATGTTTCCATATCTTCCCTATCATCTGTGGGAACATTAGCCATATCATTTGTTATTCAATTTGTTATATATTTTTTAATGTATTTTGGCAAAGAATATTAAAGTCACCATCTACAGTATTTTCTCAGGTTATTAGCCTACTGCATTACTTTTTGTTTTGTTTTGTTTTTTCCCCTCTATTAATGTAGTGAAAGCAAAAGTTCAAACATACAGGCACACAAACTTTGTTCTTTGATTATTCAAAATCCCAATAACACAAATAAATGAGAGCTCACTTACTTATCATTCATTAAACAAATAGATACTAAGCCACTACTATATGCTATTTAGTATGTTGGGAGCCACAGAAATAATGATGTATATAAATCATCAGGCATCCCACAATGAATCAATACCCTATTAATGGGAGGAAAATAGGAAGATGTATATAGTGTCTTAAAAACTTATTAAGCCAGGCAGTGGTGCTCAGGAGGCCAAGGCAGAAGGACTGCAAGTTCAAGGCCAGTATCAGGAACCTGGTGAGATCCTGTCTCATAATAAAATTTTTAAAAAGGACTGGGGATGTAGTACAGCAGTACAACATCCCTGCATTCAATCCCAACGAGGAAAGAAAAAAACTGTATTAAGTAAATCATGCTACTTTGTATGTTGCTAGAAGAAGAGCAAATACTATTATTCATCCCTCAAAATCCATGGGGGTGATGGGTTCTAGGACTACTTCATACCAAAAAGCCCATGATCCTTAAATCTTTTATATAAATGACACAGTATTTGCAAATAACCTATGCATACTCTCCCATATACTTTAAGTCTCACTAAATTGTTTATAATACCTAATATAATATAAATGATATATGAAAAGTTGTTATGTTGTATTGTTTACAGGAAAATGATAAAAAAAAAAAGTCTGTACCCATTCAATACAAACATGATGTTCAAAGATTTTCAATCATGGTTGATTGGATCCATGAATAGGGAACATGTGAATATAGAAGCCTTTACTATGTGTTGAGCACTACTCAACCAGCTTTATTAATGTTATTTCATCTGTATCTTACCATAACATTGCCATTTTACATATCAAAGAAACAAAATTTTAAGCTAGGCATAGTGTCAACGCCTGTGATCCAAAAGCCTTAG